AAATGCCTTTTTCAAATTCACAATTCTTAGTTTTTGTGTGAATTGTTTACACTAGAACTCCATTGGGTTGATTTACTAAAACTAGAGAGTGCAAAGTCTGGTGCATCTCTGCATAGAAACCAATCAGCTTCCAGATTTTATTGTCAAAGCCTAAATGAACAAACTGAAGTTAGAAGCTGATTGGCTACCATGATTACCTGTGCTGTGTTCCTGGACAAATACTACATATTTCCCTTATGTGGTCAGAAAGGGAGGTAAACCTTCAGGGTGAATGCTCTTTAAATTAGAGGAAATTATTAACCATCCGTTAATTTTTGGCGAATGTTGCATTCACTGCTTTATAAATAGTTTTTACAACCCTCAATGTTTTGAATATCATTTAGATGTCAGGATAATGTGGTCACTGTTTTAGAACCTGCTAATTTCATAGGATATCTGGTCTATTAGATAGTTTATTCTCCAATTAATTTATCCACTATCTCTTTGGGATATAATTTTCTTGTAGGATAATGCACAGAATAATGCAGGGAATAATCCATGGTCAATATTACCCTTGACGTGCACTCCATTTCTATGTGCCAACTTTTCAATTTGTAGCAGTGTTTGAACCTTAAAATGAAATTCCCTTTTTGTCTCCTCTTTGGTTTGGTAAATATACCATTAAAACCAGTTTGTAGAAGCACAGAATACACTTTAGTAAGCCATCTTCCCCATCTCTCCTCCTGGGGTCATCAGTATGTACTCAGAGGGTCCTGGTTTACCTTAGGCTGTTGGTATCCTTCTCCTTACAGGTAGCCTTCCTGAGATAGGATGACTGCAAGACCTTTGGCTTGGGTATACTTCTTCCAGGTCCTTCAGGGGGATAGCCTCACTCCAGGGAACACTTGGCTTGGCCTAAAAGTCCTTTTGCAATCTGCTTTGGCCTCCTCCACTGTAAGAGTCAGGATGTCTACAACTGTCTCTTCTAGATGCAGGTCTATCTTTCTTTGTCCTCCAGCCCTGTCCAGGGCCTTCACTTGCTGCCTAGATTAGCCTTATGGTGGGGATTTTGGCTCTCATTCCCCAACTGCCCTTGGGCTCCTCTCAACCTGGCCTATATGTGAACACTGACTCACTGACCCATTACATCATTACAAGAAAGCTCTAGCTGAAAGGGACCTCGCACCTCATGACAATATTCTCTATAACCAGATGCTATTCTGGGACAGCATCACCCAGCACCTACTTACAAATGGCTTCAATATTACAGTACTAGTCCAGTTGAATGTGACTAAATACTACTAGTTTTCTTCTGAAAGAAACTTTTCTTGTCTTCTTTGTGACTAGAACCCTCTCATAAACAAAAAAAAAACAAAACAAAAAAAAGCTGTGCAAATAATCACAAAGTGATAAAAGTGCTGCTGGCAAGACAATCAGGTCAACTGTGTACAAATATTATAAATAAATTGCCACGCTCAAATGTCACAACTGAGAAATTGTCACAACGTATAAGTGATAACATAAATGAGTCCAAATGTAGAAATAAATAGTCTCAGTGTTATGAACCATATAGTAGATCACTACGTGTATTCAATATGATTAGTGCTCCACCACCAGAAAATGGTAGTACTCTTACTAGAACATATGGACCCTTATAAAAGAGTCACAAAAGCATGAGAATATATCCACAGAATCCTTCAGAATCATGGTACTGGATAGAAGTATCACCTTCAGTTCCTCTCCATTCTTAATCTCACGATAATACCTCTCAGTATGGCCATGCAAAGAAAGACAAAGAAGCGCCCATTGCATAAAACCATAAAACATGCTTATTAACATAAAGTATTGCATTCACATTAAGGTGGGCAAATCAGCGCTGTGTACAGAGTATTCTCATATCCTGGGAACATGTACACTTCCTGGTGTTAGAAAGCAGTGTGGAGACGTCAGACGCACAAGCTCCACCAGACGCGTTTTGTCACATATGACACCGTCTGGGGGCGTGGAAACTATGTGCGACCATCACTGCTGCTTTTTATTGCCATCCAGAGAGGGAATGAGCCCCCTTAGATTAATTATTGAAATTAAAAATGGCTGGCTGATTTGCCCACCTGAATGTGAGTGCAATACTTTATGTTAATAAATGTGCTTTATGGTTTTATGTGATGGCCGCTTCTTTGTTTTTCTTTGCATGGCCATACTGAGAGGTATTATTGTGAGATTAAGAATGGAGAGAAATTGAAGGTGATACTTCTGTGAAGTACCATGATTTAACTTCTTCCAATTTTGAGGGATTCAGGGTATATATATTCTCATGCTTTTGTGATTCTTTTATAAGGATCCATATTTTCTAGTAAGAGTCCTACCATTCTCTGGTGGTGGAGCACTAATCATATTGAAGACACGTGGTGATCTACTATATGGTTCATAACACTGGGACTATTTATTTCTACATTTGGACTCATTCATGTTATCACTTATATGGTTTGACAGTTTCTCAGTTGTGACATTTGAGTGCAGCAATTTATTTATAATAGAACCCTCTCATGCTTATTTCTCACAAGGAAGCCATGAACCTTTATTAACACAAATTTCCATTTCAACACATGGGTTTCCCTTGCAGGGTTTTTCAGCATTTCTATGCCACAAAAACAAATGTACATTAGAATTCTGGCTTACATTTGCAGCGATGTTGATCTGGCTTCAATCTTCATGCCCTTGTCTGTCTCCTCCACACAGTCTCCTCACACAAATGTAATGCATGCATCTAGGTGGAGCCCTCCTAACTCCTGGGCTGGGACAGTAGCTCCGAACCATGGTCACATCTCTAATAAAAGCTGTGCACACACATGTACAATCAATGTGCTGTTTGTCTGCAAAATCTGGACCCAGAATCAGAGACTTTATCCATCCCAAGTCTCTATGGAGCCTCCAGATGCCATATCCTGTGTATGAAATAAGCACCCTGGAGCCACTCAGCCTGGCTAGATGATAAGCCTGGGTGACAAAAAAAAAACCCTTTCACTTCATGGCACAGCACTGTCACTGTATGTATAGCCATTCCTTCCCTTCCTGTCCCAGGGACACAACAGGAAGGGAGGGGAGAAGGCTTTAACTAGTTTGAGGAACGCTGGCTCTAATAAACTATTTTCAATACTAACAGGTGCACTTGTTGGTAGTACTGTATTAAATGTATGTAGGCTCAGCCTTGTTTTTGGGCAGTGAGACAAGAACTTCTCATCTCACATCTGGAACAACAGTCACCCATTCATAGGCAGCTTCGTATTCCCTGAGGTTGAGAGGCAGATGGATGGCGTCACAGTCACTGACTAAGTTAGTATTGAAAATAGATTGTTTGAGCCATCTTGACCCAAATAAACTAGTTAACTGGGCAGTAAACCTGGAATCTAAATTTGGAAGCAAAATTTTACTTTGGCTCCCTATGCCCATGTGTGTATGAACTTTAACAGTTAAAAAGTGCATGCAAAAATCGAGAAAGAGCTATGGCTCTGCTCTCAATTTGAGTTGTCACGGGTAGGTAGATTGGCTTTATAAAACATGATGACCAAATACTGTATGTAAAAACTAATGCATGCATGTAAATATGCAACGTCACCCAGAAATGTGGAGATTTACAATAAGGCACAGGTGAAGAAAAAAAAAAAGCAAAATAGACACTTTTTTCTTCCACTCAGTTTTATTTTCTAACACACACACACACAAACGACAGAAAAAACTGCAAGAAATTAAAGGTCCTATTACCTAAAGTGTGAAATGAGGTGAAAACAAATTAGATTAAACTGGGCCTGATTACTTAAAGTGTTACTAAACCCAGAACAGTAAAATCAGTCTGTATATGCAGTAAATCATGCTTGTTATACTCATTGTGGAACCTAAGGGGTTAATCCACAGCATTGTGTGAAAAGACTGTTTGATCCTGTCTTCTTTGATCCTCCCCTTCTTCTACTCTCCCTAATCCATCTGCTGACAGTACAGAGACTGAGTCACTCTGCACATGTTCTGTTTAGTGTGTAATTCTAGAGAGTTTTTTTCTTTGGGAGGGTGTATGTGATCAGCACAGGGCCAATTTGCACTGTCAAGACAGAGTGTCAGGGGTTATGCAGCCTCATAGGACAGTCAGAGCAGAATGAAAACTCCTTCTACAAGCTTTAACCAGTGCTCAGCTGGAGACTGATAGCGTTCACAAGACCGCAATGAGAAAAGGTATTTAGCAGTTTAAATTTACTAAAATAATTGCAGTTTCATGTTCTGTGTACTGTGGAAGACCAGATACAACAAATGCAGGGTCCTGGGTTTATTAACACTTTAAGATTAAACTGACTTGACGTGAAAATCCAATCATTTGAAGAAGGTTTTTTTTAATTCTCCTGTATATGAATGTTTAAGTAAACATGGCTTATTTTATAAAAAATGGTGATATAGTGAGGGTAGCAGCTGAAACACTCAAGGTAACCACAGTAACCTCCAAATAGCAATAAATAAAATAAAGTGCAGCGCTAATCTTATATATAATAAATAGATAAAAGTTATTTCATTCGATAAGTGAGTAAAGTTCAAAAATGGCACAGGTTGATGATCTCCTGATGGCACAGCAGATTTCTCAATAAACTTGTGACTGGAATCAATGGTAAAAGTACGCACTCTCCGAAAGCGCATGGATAATGCGCATATAACTGTATATCCACCAAGTAGGGATCTGTGATGGACGGATGGTGAGCTTCCTTCTATGTAATGGTCATCAAGCTTGGGTTAGTATGAGAATCTGCTGAGTCCAGAGGTCCCCCTAAGGATAGACAGGGCGCTCAGCCTGGATACAGGGCTCCCTCCTCTGGATGCTGGATACAATAGGAACTATCTGCGTGTTTAATAGCTCCACATAGGAGCCAAAAAAAAACAAGTGGCAACAGTGTAGTATGTTCCAAAATTTTTTATTATAATCAAAGGTTAAAAATCAGGGTAGTATGCAGAGTAAAGTATAATTAAAAAATTGCAGAGTATTGCAGCACTGACCCCTTTAACCACCTTCTGCCCGCCATATAGTCCAATGACGGGTGCAAGGTGGTTCTCTCGTTCTGATAGGACGTCATATGACGTCCTTCCATTCTCACCGCGCATGTCAGGGAGTGCGCAGCGCGGCGATCAGTGGTGCGCTGTGTCCCTCGGACAAAGCCGATCACCGATCCACGGAAAAGAGCCGAAGATGTCGGCTCGGTCATGTGATCAGCTGTGTCCAATCACAGCTGATCACATGTAAACAGGGAAATGCCGGTTATCGGCATTTCTCTCCTCTCGAGCTGTTACGCTGACAGCTCAAGAGGAGAGCCGGTAATCGGCATTCTGCAGAGGGGACATGTACACTGATCATCAGAGCACTGATGATCAGTGTGCCCTGATGATCAGTGTGGCCACAGAAGTGCCACCTGTCAGTGTCCATCAGTGCCAGCTGTCAGTGCTGAACAGTGCCACCTGCCAGTGCCCATCAGTGCCACATCAATGCCACATATCAGTGCCTACCAGTGCACATCAATGCCACATATCAGTGCCCATCTGAGCTGCCTTTCAGTGTCACCCATCAGTGCCAGTGAGTGCCACCTATCAATGCCAATCAGTGCCACCTATCAGTGCTGCCAATCAGTGCCACCTATCAGTGCCGCCTATCAGTGCCAGTCAGTGCTGCCTATCAGTGCCAGTCAGTGCCACCTATCAGTGCCAGTCAGTTTCCACCTAACAGTGCCAGTCAGTGCCACCTAACAATGCCAGTCAGTGCCACCTATCAGTGTCAGTCAGTGCCGCATATCAGTGCCATATATCAGTGCAGCCTTTAAGTGCACATCAGTAATGCCCATCAGTGCCAGTGCCTCCTCATCAGTGCCACCTATCAGTGTCCATCAGTGCATATTATCAGTGGCCATCACTACAGCCTCATTAGTGCACATCAGTGAAGGAGAAAAATCACTTATTTACAAAATTTTATAACAAAAAACTAAGAAAAAAACGTTTTTTTAAAAACATTTTCAGTGGTTTTTGGTTTGTTTAAGAAAAAATAAAAAACCCAGAGGTGATTAAATACCACCAAAAGAAAGCTCTATCTGTCACAAAAAAAAAATTATAAAAATTTCATATGGGTACAGTGTTGCATGACCGCACAATTGTCATTCAAAGTGTGACAGCGCTGAGAGCTGGAAATTGGCCTGGGCAGGAAGGGGGTATAAGTGCCCTGTAGGCAAGTGGTTAAAAGATGGCCGCTGGGCTTCCTTGTGGCTCCGGCGGCAATGACGTCACACTCTGTCAGCTCTCTCCTAGTGCTGCACTTTATTTTATTTATTTATGGCTTATTTTACCTTACTGTACAACAGACACGTCAACCAAGGGTCCAAAAATAGGGCTGCAAAGGGGCACACTTTGACAATTAAAAAAGGTAAATATTTTATAAACTTCTGTCACTCAATGTTGCATTCTTTTGGTACAGCTATGAAGTTATTGTCTATTAAAGTGTGTATTTTGTTAGATAATAGTAAACAAAAATAATTCAGTATCACTTTTTGTAGCTGCAGTACTTTGTGCCATCTTCCCTGGTGCCCTGTAACACTAGCTGCAACGTCAGACACGATGCCCCCCGTTGGTGCACGAAAGCTGAGCATGGTAAGGAGATGGCTACTTTGCTAGCGAGCGCTTGCCTGTGCCTTCCCAGCACTTGCCAGAGGCAAGCATTGGTATGAGGAATGCAGAGGAAGGTGAATCACCAGAATCCTTGCATGATGACTACTGCTCCCTACATGTTTCATCTCTAGGACTTTCAGGGTACTTCCAGTAAAGTGCAGTAAGAAAAAAGATAATTTCAAAACACTTCCACTTTCTATTTTTAACGTTTTTGTATCCTTTTTCTATCTTCCCCAACTCTCTAAAACATGCACTAGTCATCCTCATACTTACAAAGCCCTCATTAGACTCTACCAATCTTAACAACCTACTCCCCATCTCCTTACTCCCCTTTTCCTCCAAACTCCTTGAGTGTCTGGTTTACAACCAACTGAGCGACCATCTCACTGAAAACAACTTTCTTGATCCCCTTCAGTCAGAATTTTGCCCTCAACACTCATCAGAAACTTCTCTCCTTAAACTCACAAATGATCTACTAATGGCTAAAACCAATAGGAACAATATTCTGTACTCCTATTCCTGGACCTCTCAGTTGCCTTTGACACAGTGGACCACTCCCTCCTCCTGAGAAAACTCTACTCCTTTGGTCAGCACAACTGTACTCTTCACTGGTTCTCATCTTACCTATCCCACCGCACCTTCAGTATCACAATTCTATCTCCTCCTCCCCTCTTCCTTTCTCCGTTGGGGTTCCCAAAGGTTCTGTTCTTGGATCTCTCCTATGCTTGATCTACACCTCCTCCTTCGGTTGGCTGTTACCTCCCATGGATTTCTATACCATTTCTATGCTGATGACATCTAAATGTTTCTCTCTACCCCTCAGCTTACTCCATCAGTCTCTTCACACATCACTAATCTACTAACAGACATACAGTGCCTTGAAAAAGTATTCATACCTCTTGAAATTTTCCACATTTTGTCATGTTACAATTATAAACATAAATGTATTTTATTGGGATTTTATGTGATAGACCAACACAAAGTGGCACATGGTTGTGAAGTGGAAGGAAAATGATAAATGGATTTCAAAATTTTTTACATATAAATATCTGAAATGTGTGGCTAGCATTTGTATTCCCCTAACTAAAATCTAGTGGAACCAATTGCCTTCAGAAATCACCTAATTAGTAAATAGTAAATAGAGTCCACCTGTGTGTAATTTAATCTCAGTATAAATACAGATGTTCTGTGAAGCTCTCAAAGGTTTGTTAGAGAACATTAGTGAAAACAAACAGCATTATGAAGACCAAGGAACACACTAGACAGGTCAGGGATAAAATTGTGGAGAAGTTTAAAGCAGGGTTAGGTTATAAAAAATACCCTAAGCTTTGAACATCTCACAGAGCACTGTTCAATCCATCATCCAAAAATGGAAAGAGTATGGCACAACTGAAAACCTACCAAGACATGGCCGTCCACCTAAACTGACAGGCCGGACATTAATCAGGGAAGCAGCTAAGAGGTCCATGGTAACTCTAGAGGAGATGCAGAGATCCACAGCTCAGGTGGAAGAATCTGTCCACAGGACAACTATTAGTCGTGCACTCCACAAATCTGGCCTATTTTGGAAAGAGTGGCAAGAAGAAAGCCATTGTTAAGAGAAAGCCATAAAAAAGTCCCATTTCAGTTTGAGAGAAACCATGTGGGAACACAGCAAACATGTGGAAGAAGGTGCTCTGGTCAGATGAGACCAAAATTGAACTTTCTGGCCTAAAAGCAAAATGCTATGTGTGGCAGAAAACTAACACTGCACATCACCCTGAACACACCATCCCCAACGTGAAACATGGTGGTGGCAGCATCATATTGTGGGGATGCTTTTCTTGAGCAGGGACAGAGAAGCTGGTCAGAGTTGATGCGAAGATGGATGGAGCCAAATACAGGACAATCTTATAAGAAAACCTATTAGAAGTCTGCAAAAGACTTGAGACTGGGGCGGAGGTTCATCTTCTAGCAGGACAACTACCCTAAACATACAGCCAGAGCTACAATGGAATGGTTTAGATCAAAGCATATTCATGTGTTAGAATGGCCCAGTCAAAGTCCAGACCTAAATCCAATTCAGAATTTGTGGCAAGACTTGAAAATTGCTGCTTACAGACGCTTTCCATCCAATCTGACAGAGCTTGAGCTATTTTTCAAAGAAAAATGGGCAAAAATTTCACTCTCTAGATGTGCAAAGCTGGTAGAGACATACCCAAAAAGACTTGCAGCTGTAATTGCAGCAAAAGATGGTTGACTCAGGGGGGCTGAATACAAATGCACACCACACTTTTCAGATATTTATTTGTAAAAAATTTTGAAAACCATTTATCATTTTCCTTCCACTTCACAATTATGTGCCACTATTGTGTTGGTCTATAACATAAAATCCCAATAAAAGTTGCTTGTAACATGACAAAATATGGAAACTTTCAAGGGGTTTGGGACTGGCTCGAGAGGAGGTGCTTTGATGCAGTGGGCCAGCTTAAACATGTATTTCAATGTTTGTATACTAAAAACCTCTGTTTTTTTTGCAAAGTTTATTAGAAAAGGTGTATAGCAGTGGGCAGAAGGTTTATGCAGCGTTTTCATGTTAAAGCGACACTAAAGTATTTTCTTTTTTTTTTTTTAAATAACAAACATGTCATACTTAGCTGCTCAGTGCAGTGATTTTGCACAGAGTAGCCCGATTTTCCTCTTCTTTGGTCCCCTGCTGGCACTTCTGGCCTCTCCCTCCTGTCAGGTGCCCCCACAGCAAGCAGCTTGCTATGGGGGTGCCCGAGCAAGCATTCTCCCGTGCCAAGGCTCTGCGTGTCTGCTCACACAAGAACCATGGATTAGCATTGCCCCCTCCCTCTTTTGATTGGCTCACTGGCTGTGATTGACAGCCGCAGGAGCCAATGGCTCCCGCTGCTGCCTCAGCTAATCAGGAGTGAGAGTCCCCAGAGAGCCGAGGCTCCCGTGGACATCCCTGGATCAGGATGGGGCTCAGGTATGTATTTTGGGGGGCTGGGGGGGATGCTACACACAGAAGGTTTGTTTACCTTCATGCATAGAATGCATGAAGGTAAAAAACCTTGAGTCTTTAAAACCACTTATAACATGTAGTCACACCCCTTTAGCACATGTAAAAGCTATTGGAATTTGGAATTTTGCTTTTTCAACAATTTAGACTTCACCTTGGCAAAAAATACATATTAGACAAAAGAACTTTGACTTTACACAAACAGAGATGTCATTGTTATTATCTTGTGCTCTCATTTTATCAAAAAGTAGATTAGGAGCAGTCTGTTTATGAATTAAATGAAAACAAGCAGAATCATTGCCCAAAGTTATCAGCGAGAGGAAACTTTTTACTCTGGGCAAAAATTTCTTTATTCTTAATATTGTTATTTACGATGCTTACTATCTGAGTAATTCTATGGAAATAAAGCAATGCATCCTACTCATGCATTGCTTTCTGAACAAAAGCTTATTGTGTTCTTCCATAAAGCAAAGTCATATGCAACTACAAAAAAATCATACATTCCAGAAATCTTTGGAAATGGTTATTTACAATTACTTTTGTATTTAAGCAGAGAAAAGAAGAGTGTGCATGATAAATGATGTTACAAATTTGCAACAGACCTCATATTTCACTTCAGCTTAAATTAAGTGCCTTTTCTACAGGCAGAGTCCATTTTGACATATTTTCAATAATTCAGTAAAATAGGAAAAACAAAGCAAAAAAAAAAACAATAGTTTTTTTTCACGCCATGCAAGTATAACAAATAAAAACATGAGCAATAATAATATTATATTAAACATTTAATCACTCATATTGGCTTTATTCCAAAATGATATGTATTTAATTAATTTTGCTTACTATATTAATTAGAGAGGGCAAAATGGCAATATAAAAACCTTTAGTTACAATCAAGATTTGTAATTCATAATATGTCATGTACTATTGCATAACACATAGAAATATATGTATGATGTAGCGTTGTAAGCCTGTGATATCCATCTATGAGGACTTTGAAATATAGCATGTCAGGTATCTTTCACTGAACAGTAAGTTAACTAGC